ATAAACTTCTTTAGCTTGTATTTCTGGGACAGGATTTATATCTTTTTCATTTGGAAGAACTCTGCCAGATGAAATATTTAGTATCCTTTTAGTTTCTGCACTATAAATACATTATCCCACTCTCTCCTGGTTTGCAATGTTTCTGCTGAGAAGTCCATCAACAGTCTTCTTGATATCCCCTTGTCAAAAACAGTATTCTTTTCTCTTGTTGCTTGTTGCTCTTGTTGCTTGTTTCTTCCTGTATTGATTTTTGAGTTTAATGATAATACTTCTTGGTGGAATCTCCTATTGGTTGAATCTTACTAGAGGTATTCGATCTTCATATACCTGAATGTCCATGTATCTTCTCAAACGTGAGAAGTTGTCAGCCAATAATTTTTTTAAATAAGCACTCTATCCCCTTCTCCCTTGCCTCCATCTAATATCTCAAGAGTGCAAATGTTAGTTGTCTTAATGATGTGCCACAAATCCTGTATAGTTCTTTAATCATTTTCATTTTTTTCTCCTCTGGACAATTTCATATGCCTTCCTTTGGAGCTTATTTCTTCTGCTTGATTTAGTGTGCTGTTGAAGCTCTCTACTGCATTTTTTACTTCCATCATTCCATTCTTCAGTTAAAATATTTCTGCTTTGTTCTCTTATATATTCTTTTTGTTCAACTTACAGTTTTGTTCTTGCATTCTCTTCATTAAGTTGTTTATCCATATTGTTTTATAGCTTGCTGAATTTCTTTAGAAGAATTAGTTTGAATTCTTTGCCAGGAAGTTTGTGGATCTCCAATTCTTTGAGGTTTTGTTACTATTTCACTGTGTTCCTCTGTTGGTGTCATGTTTCCCTTTTCTTCATGACCCACCTGTAGTCTTGTGTAGTTGAGAGGTCTGAGCATTCCTGACTTTATGGACTGGTTTCATTAAGGGAAGATTTTCACCTTTGCCATGCCTAGTGGCACCATGCCTAGTACTTAGCATAAGGTGGCTCCAGGGGCATGGTATCTGGTTAGTCAGGAAGTAGGAGTTGGTAACAGTGGTAATAATGTGGTCCTTGGTGTGACAAGAGCTGTGGAAGGCCGGTGGTGACTGAGAGAGCTGTTGGTATTGTTAGTGTTGCCTCTGGATCCAGTGGTGAGGGACTGGTACAAGCAACAATAGAAACTTGGACTGGTAGTCTGTGTACGTGGCTGCACGCATGTGCACAGTGGTGATGACTGGGATAGGGCCAACTATAGGCATAGTGGGGTGCTGGGGTTATGCACAAGCATGACTATAGGAGCTAAGGCTATAATGCACATGCACAGTTATGGGGCCAGCCACAGGCATCTGTGTGGCCATGGGGGCCAGTGGCAGTAGTATGTCAGTTACATGTACATGTGCAGCTGTGCAGCTCAAGCTGCCAGTGTGCATGCCTGTGCTTGCAGGGGTCACACCACGGCAGCAGGATCAGATGATGGGGTGGTAAGGATGGCTGTGTTCATACATGCAGCTATGGGGGTTGGCTGGTGGAATGCGGGTGTGCAGCTGCAGTGGCCAGCTGTGAGCACATGAGTATGTGGGTGCTCATGATGAGAACGGTGGGCTCCATGCACAGCTGCAGGAACAAGAAGTGTCAGTGTTCTTGCACATGGCTTCAGGGCCAGCTGTGGGAATAGCCACAGCAGTGAGGGCCAATAAGGAAGCTGGGGCTGGCTGCTTACATGTATATAGCTGCAGAGAATGAGGCTGATGGCAAGTATGCACTTGGCTACACAAGTCAGCTGCAGGGACATGCAGTCATGAGGCCTAGTGATGAGGGCAAGGACCAGCTGCTTGCATGTTCCTGGGGCAAGGCACAGGTGTGCACATGGTGGTGCAGGCTGGCTCTGCAGTGGGGCCGAGGCCATTTGTGGGGATACACAGTGGCTGTGCTGGGTTGGGGCAGCTCTGAAGAGGGGGAAGGTGGTGACTCATGGATCTGGAAACTGTAAAAGCTGACAACTATGGCACCTGTAGTAATGAAAGCTGAGAGAAGTCTGCTGCAGCTGTACCTAATGGTTTACTCAGAGGCAAAGGCTGACGGAGTCCCCTGCAGAGAAGGCTGATGGGATCCGAGATGGGGAACACTGGATCCTCATTATTGAAAATCATGGGAGTGTGCTTGGTGGCCACAAGGGCTATTGAGGCTCTCTTAAGAGAAGGTTGCTGGGGCCCTGGGCACAACAGGCCGCTGGGAAGTATGGTGGTCCCCATCGCATGGCTGATAGATAGCCCCTGTCCTTCTGTTTTGTTCCCAGACAACTGCAGGTATCTCAGCTACACTGGGTGGGTGAAACTGGAGCAGATCACTAGGGAGTGCCCCCAACTGCTAAAAAGTTGGTGGGAGAGGAGGTCAAGGGCCTCCAGTTGGAGAAGTGGGGTCTCCAGTTCAAGATGGGTCAGCCTGACTCCACACCACGTCTTCTGTCCTCCATGCTACCCTGTATCCCTCCTCTCTCCTAAAAGCAAAGATCATGGCAGACCTAAGTACCTGAAGCCATAGGGTAGGGACTGCAGAAATCCAGGTCTCAGTGAGGGGGCCTCAAACTTGGTCCCAAATGTTCACTAATGAGTGTGCCCAGAACTTCTCCAAGGAGCTGGGAAGGTCACCAGCAGTAGAGATGGATTGGGGCCAACTGGGAAGCTCATTAGAATGGGAGCTGCTTCTGTGCCTGCCCCTAGGTCCTGCCTTCATTACTTGGAGAAGTGCTTTTGGAAGCTTCGCTGTCGGGGGCCCACACTCCCTGGGTGTGCCCACTCGCCTCTTCATCTCATACAGTAAACCAAAGTTGGAGGCAGCGGCCTGCCAAAGGCCCATTACTCACTTTTAATGAGACAGCCAGGGAAATAAATTGGCATATGTTAGGGAAATGGCTCATCAAGGTGAGTAATTATGTCCATGACTGGGGCAGTGTACCCTCTGATGAAAGAATTAGCATCTCGTCTCTCATTCCAGAACAAGTGCAGGAAGCCAAGTGAGCCTGACCACTGATCACGATACCTCCACTTGTCCAGTCCTGCTGTTCCCCACAAACCTGGCACTGCCCAAATTCCAAAGCTTGCATGGGAACAGCCTGGAAACTGACAGCAGGGGAACAGAAACTCAGAGTGGGGCGTGTTGTCAGGGTGTGGTGGGGACAGGCCAGCCTTGCGCAGCACCCAAGCTACGGGAGAAGCTGTCGGGATCAGTTCTGATAGGCTTTACTAACGGAAATGACCTTGTTCATTTTCATTAGTAATTAAAGTCCAGTATTTCCTTTCATTTTTTTAAAAAAAGATTGATGTTTTTATTTAAAAGGCAAAATGACAGAGGGAGAGGCAAAGCAGGGAAGAGAGGTGAGAAAGAGAGATTGAGAGAAATACAGAGAGATTGATCTTCTATCTGCTAGTTCACTCCCCAAATAGCTGCAACAGCCGGGGTTGGCTCAGGATGAAGCCAGGACTCAGGAACTCCATCCAGGACTCCCACATGAGTGGCAAGGGCTCAAGTACTTGGGCCATCATCTGCTTCCTTCCCAGGTGCATTAGCAGACAGCTGGATTGGAGGCAGAGCAGCCAGGACTCAAACTGACGCTCTGATATTGGATGCCTGCATTGGGAGCAGGGCTTAGCCCATTGTTCCATGGCGGCAGTCCTTTCTTTACTTTCTTATGCACCGATCTCGTGCCCTGTCCAGTTCACAACTAGTGATGTCCAGGTATATACTTGCTGCTCAGGTGTCTTTTAACATTTTATAGGAAACTATTTCATTACTAGATTTTTTGTCTCATAAATATTAGTTCTGTTTGCCAGAGCTAGTTGAGATCTGGGATAAAGGTGAGTCCTCGGCTTCCATCCCTATGGAACCTGCTGCATTTCTCAGCATACAGAAGGCTGTATCACGGAGCAGGATTCTCCCCGGTCTCAACTTGAGGAAGCGCTGTTTCTCCTGCAGACTTGCAAACTGGTGACTGGGTGTACTGCCTTCTAGACATTGACTTCTGGGAGGCTTGGGGTCCATTTCATGCTTTCTGCACAAACTGTACCCTGACGCCGCTTGATTTCCCATGACAAGCTTCATGTGGGCAGGCCCGTATCTGTTGGGAGTTCTCTATTTCCATCCCAAGTGTTCAGCACCATGTCTGACATCCAGTAAGCAATTAGAGGGGACAAACTTCAGGTTTTGCAACTTTTGCATTTTTGTGCAGCAGTTAAATCTTATTTGAAACAAAGCAGGGATAATAAATGCACACTCACACGAAGTGATATGTTTAGCAAATAATTATCATTTGTGGGAAACAATCAAATACGATTGTGTCATAAATTATATAAAATCATGATATTGTATAGATTACATGAACTATGATATAACCAAAGTACTGAAAATCACAGTCAAAAGGAGCTGAGTTAGTTGGGCCTCTGCCTAGGGGTTTATACTGCAGGGTAATGTCCCAGTGGCATCCTGGAGTTGTTCTCAGTTTGGTCTGAGAGTGAGGAGGGTGGCAGGGTTCTTTCATTCTTCATTCTTGCTGGGGTTGAAAGTCCCATGAGGGGCACTGGTGAGACCTTGTGAGCTTCCTGAATGGGTCTGTGGTTTGGAAGGTGTTTCAAAATCCACACCTTTTCATCTGGGGCAGATGGCAGGCTGTGGTGGTGGTGGTGGAGGTGGGTAGTGTACACCTTGGTGCATAGGAAAGGCACCCAGACACGGCTCAGAGACGGCAGCACTTGTATCTGGATGGCAGCTGGGAAATGTGGCCAACTGATGGACTGTTGTGGGTGTTCATGTGTGCTCTGTGGGTGCTCAGGTGTGGGGCCGTGGGAGCCCACAGACTATTCCCTGAGGAGGTTTCTGAGGTTTCCCAGTGCTGCCTGAGACCTGGCAGGGCTGCTAACCACATCAAGCCATTCCCTGGAGGGCAGGGCAGGGCAGGTCTATGCAGAGACCCTGCTGGGCCTTCAGGGTAGGGGGGCAGGATTCGCTCCCTGACACCACTGTGGGGTCACACTCACCATTTCTGTCGATGGCGAAAGGCACGTCTGTCGTGACGATTTCATAGTTGCAAATCTGGCTGTACTGAGGGGAGCAGTCCTCGTCGACAGCCTCCACCTGCAGGATGCTGTCATAGATCTTGCCCTCCGTCACGACAGCTTTATAGGCAGGCTCTTTGAAGGCAGGGGCAAATTCATTGACATCCTTCACCTGGATATGGACCACGGCCCTGGGACCGCACACAAGAAGGCAGAGACGTGGTAGGTAAAGACTCGCCCCAACCCCCACACCTCCCTAGGATATTGACTCATGTCCCAAGGCCAAGTGGGTGGTCAGAGCACCTGCTGCAAGAATGATGGTCACCCCTCCAACCAGGGTCCTCAATGGCACTCCCCTGAAGCTCCGGGATGAACCCACCCCTGGACTCCTCCCCAGTCCCATCTTTAGAGCCGCACATGGCCTGGCACACCCGCAGGACACAGTCCTCAGTGCGTCTGCACGAAGGGCTTCCCACAGGAAGTGACATCACCACTCAGCCCCTGAAGGTGTACAAGGAGTGTTTCTCATGAAGAAGAGTGGGGAGGGGGTTCCAGGTACAGGAAGCATCCTGTAAGTGCCTACGGGGCCTGGGGAACGGGGAGCAGCCAAGCAGGGCTGGGACCATCGGGCATGGATGGGTGTGGGCTGGGGCGGCGTGGACCGGGGTGGGAGGGGCGTCCAGGGAGCCGGGGGGCAGGCCACGCACTTGTGTGACTTCTTCCAGGCCGTCTCTCGGGGCCCAGCGCCGCAGTCGTAGGCCTGGATGATGAACGTGTACTCCTTCTGCAGTTCACAGTCAATGGGGCTCTTGGCTCGCAGCCGGCCCTCCCCAGATGTCTTGTTGAGTACCACGGCCTCAAAGGGCAGCTCCTGGCCGTGGATCTTGAATGCGCAGATCTCCCCTGCAGTAGGATGGGAGATAGAGAGTGGGAGTCATGAGAATAGCACACCACATTCTGCCTCGGCAGGGCCAGCCTGACAGATCCCAAGTCCCCCTGATGTTTCCTGCACACACACAGACCTGTCACACCTGGACAGGATGCCAGGCCACACGCCCGTCTCATGGGCGGTGAAACAGCCACATTTCATGCATGGACATATCACCACCACGGACATCCGGCAGAACAACAGGTGCGCGCCCTCGTGCCTGGGACTGTTGGTTCTCCCAGGTTCCCCAGCAGCCATCCCATTTGCCCACCCAGTCTGGGATTAAGAACGGTGACTGCAGTCAGAAGTCATAGGAGGGCAGAGGAAGGGAGTAAAAGGCCAAAGCTCATGACAGCCTTTCGTCCCATGATGCTATCTTCTCTGAGAGCGAGCTCCATGAACCAGTGGCATCACCGAGGAGCTCATTGCAAACACAGAATCCGGGGTCCCACCCAGACCCCCAGACGCAGAAGCTGGAAGCCCCACTGATTTAGAAGTGGGAGCAACACTGCCCTTTCTCCCCACTCCTGCTGCTGTGACCAAATTCTCTCCCCCCTCCCTTAGGCATCAGAACCCACACTTCCCCTGGGGAGAAAGGCCACCACTCAGAGCTACAACGTCCTCTCTGGATTCGGTGGCTGAGTCTACATGAGTTCAGAGTCCCAGGGGAGCCTGAAAAGCTAACTTCTCAGAGCCGAGCGCGTTGAGACATGTATGCATTTCTTCCCCTCGGCTGGGCTACTACGTTAGTTCTAACTATTTCTCTGGCCTGGCCCCCGGGAATGGTCCATAGTCGAATTCGGGTCTCAGGGGAGAAATTCCCATTCTACATACAGGAAACAGGCCCTGAGCTCCCACTAACAATGTTTTCTAAGCTGTTAATCAATATCAATCTTACCTTTAGGTTTCTGGTTTTCCATTACATCTTCCCTCCTCAATTTCATTATAACATTCCGCTTTTACTACCTCCCCTCCTGGCCATTTCTCCAGTGTGGCTGTGGAACCACAGACCAGACACACAGGTTGTGGAGCAGGGTCTAACAGGCAGGCCGGTTCCCCTTAGCCGCTGCTTCTCCTCTCACTCAGCATTTCCGCCCTGCCCACTCCAACGAGGCTCAATCAGGATTCATCTGATCCTCACGCGTAATTTCCACTCTGAGTTAGCTGGGCTTGAACAGAGCAACCTCCAAATTGCCTGCCGTGTGATTCTATCCCAAGATCAATGCCAACATGAGAACATTGCCAACGAAAGTGCACAGAGCACTCTCTGGGGTGCACAACCACCACCAAGATCTGAAGAGTTGCATTAAACCCAAAATAGATGAGGCTAATTTTCTGTGGGAATCATCTGATCACAACTAAAGCGGTTCCCAAGACTAAGAAATTCTTAGTAAGGGAAAGGAGAGGACGGAGGGAAAAGAGGAAGAGGAGACACAGGGGGTGGGTTGGGGGGGCTAGATTCAGTGAGCTCAGCTGAGGCCACCTGCTCTAGGCCTGGGGTACCGGAAAGCACAAGGATGCTGCTCTGATCTGAATGACCTCCAAACGTAAACAGTTAAGCCCCAAAACCATATGGTGACAGTGCAAACTGGATCCACTGGGGGGAAGGGCCTTTGGGAGCTGACTGGGTCATTAGGGAGGAGCCCTATGATTAGGTCCTTGTGTTAAAGGAAGTAGGTAGAGGGGCTGGCACCGTGGTGCAGTAGGCTAATCCTCTGCCTGAGGCGCTGGCATCCCATGTGGACGCCGGTTCTAGTCCTGGCTGCTCCTCTTCCAATCCAGCTCTCTGCTATGGCCCAGGAAAGCAGTAGAAGATGGCCCAAGTGCTTGGGTCCTTGCCCCCACTGGGAGTCTGAGAAGAAGCTCCTGGCTCCTGGTTTTGGATTGGCGCAGCTCTGGCCGTTGCGCCCATTTGGGGAGTGAACCAACGGATGGAAGACCTTTCTCTCTGTCTCTTCCTCTCACTGTCTGTAATTCTACCTCTCAAATAAATAAATAAATCTTAAATTTTTTAAAAAAGGAGCTAGGTAGACATTCAGTAGCCTGTGTGCACGAGGCACCAAGAAAAGGGGAATTTTTTTTTTTAAAGAAAATGAGTTTCTGTGTGGTGGAATGAGAGGAAATGTAAAAGCCAGCCTGGCCAGCAATTACACCTCTGCTCCTGTTCAGTAACCCTGCTATTGGGTTCCAGCCCTCCCCCTGGGGGCAGCCTGGGGACTAGCCCCTGCCCTGCACTAAGGGGACTGTGAGGTCTGACAACACTGTGTTGAGAAGGTCCTGGGAAGATTGTTTTGGAGCTCCATGTCCAGAAAAACCCCTCACCCAGCAATTTCCCAGGAAGGGGGGGGAGGAAGAGGAGGAGGGGGAGGAGAGGAGAAACAGAAGTCCCATTCAGGGCCCTCTGAGCCAGGATGGCCTCTCTGTCTCTGACTTGAGGTTCTCCATCATTTTATCTGGGCACTTGTGCTTTGATGTTAAGACACAATGGAGCATGTCACAGCCAGAGGAGACGGGCACAGAGCGTCTTGCTGTCCCATTCACACAGAGCGTGCAGCATGCCCCAGGAACACAGAATTTGGAGCCCCTGCAGTGTGGGCTCTCAGCGGGATGCAGGGCGAGAACGTGGTAAGCATGTTATGTCACCAGCGGAGGAAGTGGGGAGCTGATGGCCCCCAGGGGCTGTGCTTGCAGGTCAAGTTCAAGCTGTTTTGAGTGAAGAAAAGTCGGCAGCATGTTACCAGGAAGCATGACTGACAATGGAACCCTGCTGCCCCCTGTCCTCCTCATGTTGCACCCCTGTATCAGCCGACCACTCACAATGAAAATGATAGCAGAAGGGGGAAAGGGAGAATCAGAAAACCCGCAGATCCCACCTCAGCAAGCTGGAGGGTGGGGGAGGGGGCATGGCGGGTGCACATCAAAAAGCAAAATAAAAATCACTGATTTCATTTCGTGCCAGGATACACATGCACACGTGAGCCTCAAGACACACATTCTGCACATCCGTGCAAGGCTCCACTATTTGCATGTAAAATTGGCAGTGGATAAATGGTAACATTCAGGCGAACAATTCAGAAATTCAGCTTTACTTGGAAGGCATCAGATACCAAACTCAGAACAGCGGGAGGAGAGAGGTCCCAGGATGGGGTGCTGGCAAGACCCACATTCTCGGCGTCAGTGTCTGCATCTTGTGTGAGCCATGTCCTGAGGATCTGTTCTGACTAATACCCGGTGCAAGGGAGGATGACCAGGCCCGATGGCTTTTCCAGTCTTGCTTGCAGCCTGCTTTCCTGGGTGGGTGGGAGACTGCGCCGGTTTGCGCCTGGGACAACCCACAGAGGAACATGTGCGCCAGGCCTGCAGGGGGCCGAGCAGGAGTGAAGTCAACAGCCAGGCCGCCGGGCCCCTGGGGCTCATCTCGCCCTAGCTGTGGTCCAACGTGGCTGAACTCAGCTTTATTAAGGTCCTTCTTGGGAGCGGGGCCAAAGATAATCCTGCAGGCAGGGCCAGGGCAGGGTATAACAGCCCCAACCTCTGGGCCCCCTTATCTCAGGTGCCTTCTTACCTGCAAGACTGTGCTAACCTCCTAAGACACCAGAAGAAAGTGGGGTACTTGTCTCCCAGCCCCACAGGGCACCCCAGCAGAATGTCTCTGAATCGGGTTAAAGAGATGCTTTCTCCTGACTACCCTTGGCTAACAGTCTGTGGATCTCTTTTTTTCAGACGAGGAAGCTGAGTCGTGGAGAGCATACAGTGTTTGTCCAAGGTCACCCTGTTGGCGTGGAGCAGATTCAGGGCTGGAACCTAGAACTTCGGTACCTGAAGCCAGCACCCTCTCTGTTCTCTCAGTCATGCTGCTTGGCCCAGGCGGGCCGTGATGTTCCAGGAACTGTGGTTCTCCAAGGCCATTCTCTCCTCCCGAGGTCCCTGCGACCCTGTCTAGGGGCTCCACAAAGTCGACACAAGCATCCTGTTTGTACCAGGATGCAGCTTGCTTTTAGCCCCGGGCTGATGTTGGCACCGAGGATACAAATGTGGCGGCGAGTGGCTGCATCGCGTCTCGCTGGCACCTGACTGGCTTGCTTGTACGTCACGCCCACAAGGAGCAAGGAGCCCGGGTCGCTTACGAGTGACGTCACGGCGCAGCCAGTCAGCACCAACTGCGTGAAATCTCAAGCCCTGACTTTGATGTGGTGCAGTGATGCCGCAGGACGACCACAGCAAGCACCTGGTTTGTCTCCGGGAACCGTGTTTGCGTGTTTTACCTGAGCTGTGAGAGGAACCCGGAACCTTTTCTGTGGGATGCCATTTTTAAACTTGACAGAATGACTGACAAACTGATCATTCAGACTTGAGAGAATGATTTACAAAATGTTTCTTCAAACTTGAGGGAGTGGCAGCTATTTTGTGAAGTAAGCCTCTCACTCTAAAGCAAAGCATTGATAGTATTTGCTGCCAAAGATACAAAATTTGAGTTTTCAATTTCAGAAAACCATCAGCCACTGAGAGTTGTACCATTTATTAAGACGTTAGTACTTTTCTGATGAGAAGGGTAGCAATGCTCACTAGTGTGAGGTTTCGATATTGCCTAGTGAAATACGTCCACTTTGGAAAGATCTACTTGACAGTGAACCAGTGAGCTTACAGATGAGCAATGCCTGCTGTGGCACAGTCACACTGAGCATAACTCACAGCGCACGATGGACCAGCGAGGTTTAAAGAGACAACACACAACGGTCTGAGTGCCGTGTTCCCCCAAATTCAGATGTTGAAAACACCCAAAGTGATGGCTTGGAGAGGTGATGAGGTCCAGTGATGGGATTATGTTATGAAAGAGGTTCCAGAGGGCCGGTTTTGGGCATAGCAGAGACACCTGCATCCCATAGTAGAGGAAGTGCCTGGGGCGGAGTCCTGCCTCTGCTTCTGATCCAGCGTCCTGCCAATGCACCTGCACCTGGGACGCAGCAGAGGCTGC